CCCTTCTTCTTCTTCTTGCCCTTCTTGCCCTTGGCGCGCTTCTCCGCCTCGACCTCCGCCAGCAGCTCCTCGGCGTGCCGCGCCGCCTCCTTCTCTTCCGCCGCCCTCTGCGCCTCCCTCTCCGCCGCGCCCGCAGCCCACGCCGCCTCTTTCGCCGCCTTCTCGGCCGCCACCTCGGCCGCCCCATGCTCCTCGAGGGCGCGCACGCACTCGGTGTGGCCCTGGCTTGGCGTACTGCAGCGCCGTCATGCCGCTAGAACGCAGCGTCTTGTCAGCGCCCGCCCGCAGCAGCTGACGCACCATGGTGGGATGGCCGTAGTGCGCGGCGAGCATCAGGGCGGTGAAGCCGTGGTTTGCCTGCATGTCGATCTCTGCGCCGTGCCGGATCAGCGTGTCGATAACCCGCCAGTCGCCTCCGTAGGCGGCCTCCATCAGCGCAGTGCCGCCGGTCGTGCGGCTTCTCTAATTGGCCTCCGCGCCGTGCCGCAATGCCAGCTCGACCAGGTTCTCGCGTTCGAGGCGGCGAACATCAGCGCGGTGCCACCGTCGCTTTTCTGCAACGAGACATCCGCACCGCGCCGCAGAAGCGCCTCAGCCAGCTCCGCGTGGCCATCGACCATTGCGAGCATCAGCAGCGTCATGCCGCTCACACGTTTGCCGCCATCAAAGGTGTATTCGAACCTCGCGTCGACCCACCCGCCGCCGTCGAGCCACTCCAGCACCGCCGCCTCCTCGCCTCGATCAGCCGCTAGCACGACCTCCTCTGGCATCGCCTCGCTGCCCGGCGCGGTCTCTGCGCCGCCCTCGCCGCTCGAAGCAGAAACCGCAGCACTGGCGCCCGCCACCGCCGCGCCTGCGGGTGCGCCGCCCGCCCCTGCGCCGCCCGCCTCGGCCGACGGCGCCTTGCTGCGCGCCGCCTTTACCTCGCCGAGATACGTCCTGAAAGCCTCGACGCACTCGCCGTGGCCCTCCTCCTTGGCGATCTGCAGCGCCGTCTTGCCCGCCGCAGTGCGCAGCGTCATGTCTGCGCCCGTGCGCAGCAGGCGGAGGACGACGGCGGCGTCCCCGGAAAGCGGCGGCCATCAGCGCGGTGCCGCCGAGATTGCACTGCAGGTTGATCTCTGCCCCGTGCTGAATCAGCACGTCGACCACGCGCTCGTGGCCCTCGAGGGCGGCGGACCTCAACGCGGTGACGCCTTCGCGGTCCTGCAGGTTGATCCCCGCGCCGTGCCGAAGCAGCACGTCGGCCACGCGCTCGTGGCCTTTGGCGGCGGCGGCCATCAGCGCCGTACAGCCTTCGCTGTCTCGCGCGTCCGCCTCCGCGCCGCGCTCCAGCACCACTTCAACGAGCTGCTTGTGACCGTGTTCGGCGGCGATCAGCAGGAGCGTACAGCCGCTCACACCGCGACGCACGCACGTCGCGTCAACCAGCCCATCCCCGGCGAGCCACGTCTGCACCATGTACCTTGCCATTCTCCACCGCCGCCTCGATCCTTTTCGGCAGCGAGAGCGGCGCAGCAGTAGCTGCCGTTGAAGCGTGCCCGCGCCGGGACGCGGCCGAGCCAGCCTTCGTCCGGCCGGGCATGCAAACGGGCGGGGTTGCGGGTGCTGAGCGCCTCCACTCTCCTCTCGGGCTGGCCTCCCGCGCTGGGCTTCGAAAAAAGAATTGCGCGGGCTGTTTTCTGTGGGTGTTTCCACAATCAAACCGTCCGTGAAGAGTGCTTGATTCACGGACAGCGAGGCTGGCCGCACAGCGAGGCTGGCCGCAAGCGGAGCTCCCCACCGGCGGCGGGTTTGAAGACACTGAGCCCGAGCGCGCCGGCGGCGGACCGCCGCCGGCGCGCTCGCTTCGGCGGATGGCTGAGCGGCACAGTTTCTGGCCGCCCGGCCTGCGAGCAGTCGCCGCGAGACGATCAAAGGCGCTCAATCAAGCGCGCCGCCATGCCAGATCTCGCCCCACGCCCCGACCAGACCGGGCAGTACGTGCAGGAATGATGCAGGCATGATGGATGGGTGTGGTGAGCACGCCAGTGGCACCGCTGCGCACTCTCAGGGTCGCAGCCGCCTATCTCGTGAGGGGCGTGGCTCGGGGCGGGTGCGAGAGAGTCGAGGAGCGCGGCGCGCGCGTGCGCGCGCGTGGTAAGTCGGTTTATATTTCATCACTGGTACAAAAGAGACCCAAAACGGCACGCGCGCCGCGCGCACGCGCGCTCGCATCACCTCAACACTCACACAGCAAATCAAAGATGCGGCCAGCCGCGCTCGGGTTTCAAAAGAGGGACGGAAGCGAATCTCTACACGGCTCATGCTGATCTCGGAATGGCCCTCGGAGCGGATCCAGCAGCGGAACCCCGCGCGAAGGTAACGCCTCACCGTCGTCCGCCCTGCGTCGTCTGGTGACGGGTCCTCCATAGTCGGTTGAGGTCGCCGCCCTCCTCGTGCCTCTTCCCAACGTTCCCTCGGCGGTCGATGCCGCCTGGTCCGCCTCCGCCGTCCCCGGGTCTGCCCTGCCCTCGTCTGCACTAGCTTCTGTTTCGTCATCACTGGCGCCTCTCCTCTTCTTTCTCCTCTTCTTGTATGCTTTGTACATCGCGTCGATTCCTTTTCGCGTGAGCACCATCCTGAAGCTCGCCCAGCAGCGGAACCGCTCCCGAAGTCGAAGGAGCATCATCAGTCTCACCCACTTCGCTCTCTGCCCACCGTCTCCGCTCCCTCCCGCTTGAGCCGCCGTCGCGGCCCTCGTTCGTCCCACTGGCTGTTGGCCTGTCTGCACGTTGCCTCCGTTATCCCTCCTCCTCCGCGACTCCCTCAAGGCCGGGCGGGCCTCCTTCCACCCAGCGAAGAGCTTCCTCAGCCACTCGATGTGTTCCTCTCTCTTCATTATGCGCGCCGTTGCTTCATCATTGAGCTGTATCCACCTCTGCACCGCTCCCGTCGCCGCCTCGGCCACGACTTGCAAGTTCCTCGTATTTCATTGTTACAGACTTGCAAGAGAGAAATTAGAGCTCATCAGTAAAAGCTACAGTACGGCAGCCTTAGGTCTGAGCCCTGGCCTCGGGACGATACACCTCGAGTCCTCTGGTCGACACCAAAACCTCGACACGAGCGTCGAGCGCGTCACGCGACGTCGACACCAACTCGACACCTCGACACCCCCTGTGCCAACTCGACCAACTCGACACGAGACAGAGGGCGCGTCTACATCGCGAGGCCGTGATCGCAGATGACCAGTAGCTCTTCAGGCAGCTGGTGGGCGAGGCGACCTGCTGCAGCTTGACGAGCTCGCGCGAAGCATCACTGCTGTTCTGCTGACCTCTGAACCTCGACTTCTCGCAAGAGGGAGCTGCAACACATGGTCTCTCTCTTTGACAGCAACGGCCAGGACGCGCTCAGCCTGGACGACTTCACGGCGGTGTCCGATGGTTTTTGAGGACGCGGCTGGACCATCGGCATCGCAAGCCCAAGCGCCCGCGCCGTCCGTCGCAAGCGCCCGAGCCGCCGCCCCGAGGCCCCCGAGGGTGAGTAGTCGCATTTTAGCATGCACCACTACGAGTGATCCCTTTCGCTGTGACTGATGGCCAAGTTATACCGAACACTCCTTGGAGCACTTGGAGTGCTGTCAGTACTCCCTGGGAGTACGCGCGCGACCGGAGTTTTTTCCAGGGCACCCCAACATGCTCACTCGCAGGCTCTCCACCGCGAGCCTGGCGTGCCGAGCCCGCGTGCAACTCTCCTCGCGGTCTGGCCTCAGCACGCTCCGCCTCGGCCTGGCGCCTCCTCGGTCCGGCCTCAGCACCGTCGTCGCACCACCGCCTCCGCCGCCTCCCGCCGCGGCGGCGCCGCCCGAGGACGAGGATGCCCGCCCTTTCGTCGTGCGCTGGTGGAAGTCGATCCTGTTCTGGTCGTTCGTGGCTTCGTGGGCCTACAGTCTCATCCAGCAGAACAGATCCCGCCGCGGGCTCGACGAGGAGGAGGAGCGCGTGCGCGCCTGCGCCCCGGTCAACGCTGACGAGATCCTCGAGCTGCGCGCGCTCAACGACGTCTCGAGCGACACGCTCGCGACGCTCGCAGACGTGGCGGGCGCGGGCGCCCGTCACGACGGCGCAACGGTGCCCCAGGTCCTCGCCGCGCTCGCGAAGGCCGTCGGCCAGCCGGTCCGCGAGGAGTATGCGCTCGAGCGGATGCTGCTCGCGGTGCTCGAGGTGCGGGGCGCCGCTCTGGCGTCGCCCGCGGAGGCCGCGGCGCCGCGCATCCCCCTCGACGACGCGGCGCTCGCGCTCGGCTTCCTGAGCAACGGCCCCGTGGTTGAGCGGCTCGGTGCGCTCTACGCCTCCGCCTCAGGGGGCGGGCCGGGACCGATCAGCGCCGAGCGCTTTGTGGCGGCGCTGGGCGTGCTCGCGGCGAGCGGGCAGGTGCCGCCCGACAAGCAGGTGGCCCTCGACGGCGTGGGGCGGAATGCTCTCGGGGTGAACCGCTCCTGGTACGTCGAGCAGCCCGCCGTCTCGTACTCGGCAGCAGAGCTGGCCGACGCGGCGGCGGCCGAGCTGGCGGCGGAGGGGACGGCGCCGCCGCCAGCGTGGTGGCAGTTTTGGAAGGCCTCCGAGGGCGCGGTGGCGGACGCGGCGAGGGCGAAGGGCGGGGGCGGCGCGGCGGGCGGGTTGCCGCCAACAGTCGACCGCCCAACCTTCGAGAGGCTCCTCGTGAGCGACGCGGTTTGCCTATGGGGCGAGTGCCACCTGATCCGCGAGCGGGAGAGGATTGCGAAGCGGCGCGCCGAGGCGGAGGAGTACGAGCGCAGCCCGCCCTCGTGGCAGTTCTGGAAGTGGGGCCGCAGCTAGCCGCGGGGTGGGCGAGCCGGCCGCGTGACGCTCGGAGGACTAGACCCCGCGAGACGTGAGATGAGAGAGATACAGATAGGTTGCACAACGCGGCCGCAGGATGCTCGGGAAGGCGGAGGGGGAAGCCCGCGCATAGGACAACAGCGTCTGTCCCACTCACACTGCAATCTAACAAGAGGAAATTCGATCTTTTGGACTCTCTATACTATCCATGAGGTTGCTCGCGTTGGAGATGAGAAATGTCCAGACCTCACACGAGACACCAGACACGGAGGCGGTTAGTGACAGTGTCGAGTAGTGTCTAGACTCTAGTGAGCCCTGCAAGCTGCAAAGCGCGGGGTGTCAGCGAGTGACAGTGTCACATGACTTGTAGGGGCGCGAGTCGAGCGAGCACAGACACAGGCACACACGGTGACCCGTGCACGACGGAAGGAGGGCGGCCCTAGTAGTAAGCGGGCTCGCGAGAGCTATTGCAAGTGAAGATCGTGTAGAGCAGCCGCCCGAAGCCGCCCTTTTGCGAGACCGGGAGCGTGCCCAGCGGCGCCTCAGTCCCTTTCGTTCGCAGTTTGTCGTCCTTGGACACCATCCGGAAAGGGACCGAAGTAGGCTGCTCCACGAAGTTGGCGCCGGCCCAAAGAGGCATGAACTGCGCCGACCACCAGTAGGGAAGCTCGCGCACCTGGCGCCAGAGGTGGCGGGGCTGGTCCGGCACCCGCGGGGGCAGTGTCCGCGCCGCGGCCGCCCCGGGGTGCGCGCCTGGTCCCGCTTGAGCATGGCGGTTCCGTGGACGAACTTTGAGAACTTAGGCATCTCGCGCAAGCAGCCCGAGTTGAGCAAGTCGGAGACCCACCTGCAGAGGGTTCGGTACCGTGGGGGTAGGGGAGGGTGCAGAGGGGACGCGGCGCCTCAACGCGGCGGTGGCGGCGGGAGGACATCAGTCGGGCTGGGGGCGGAGCCCACTCGGGCATCGCCGTCCCGGAGATGAGCTGCAGTTTGACCTCGAGCACGCCTGGGGAGCACGAGGCGAGTTAGCCGGCAGCGCGTCTGCGGCGAATCGGCTCTTGCGGCCGAGCTCGAGCGGCGCGCCGTGCGGGAACTGCGTCACTTGCGACCTGTTGTCGAGCGGCCCCATCCGCTTCCACTCGCCGTCGCCACACGGCTCGAGCGCCATACACCTGGGACGTGGGTGCGGAAGGTGTGGGGGGGCGACGGACGACCAATCGGGGCGGGGCGCGCAGCGAGTGGAGGGGCGAGTGGTCAGCGCACAGCTCGGTGTCGAGCGAGCAGCGCACAGTCGCGTCGCCCGTCCGCTGGAAGGCCGTCCGCATGTAGTGCGTGCGCACCGACGGCCTAAGCTTCTTGGAGAGGACCGCCGCCTGGCGCCGCGGGAGGGGAGGCCCCATGGGAAGAGGCGCGTGCGGGCCGCTGCCTGCATCTCGGCGGCCAGCTGCTGCGCCTCGTCAAGGTCGCCTGTCGCGGCGGGCGAGCTCTCGAGGAGGGCAGGGGCACGTGCTGCACGGGAGGGCACGGGCAGGCAGCTCCGCTCACCCTTGAAGCCAGTGGACGCGAGGATCGAGCGCACCTATGTTGTGGTGGCGCGGGCTGAGCGGCGAGCGGCAGGAGCGGGCCCAGCCCCTGCTGATCGCGCGCATCCGCCGGCGAGAGCTTGCCCTGGAGAAAGGGGACGACCTGCTCACAGCGCCTCTCTTCACAGCGCTTCTCTTCACAGCTTGCCGAGGAGACAAGGGCACGACCTTGTCCGGCGGCAGCGGGAAGCGCTCCTTGGCCGACGCCTCGCCGTCGCCGTACCAGTCCTCGCGGTGGGTCTTCCGCTCCATGAATGCCGTCTTAAAGCTCTCCTCCGGGCCGTACCTGCGCCGAGCCGCGCTCGCGCATCAAGCGCGGCGGGCGGGGGAGGCGGGCGGGAAGCGAGGGGAAGTGGCACCAGCGGATGCGGAAGGCGATGGCGCCGTCGTACTTTTTGAGGCGGCCTTGGTAGAGCTCGAGCTTGTCGTTGTCGTAGTAGATGGAGGTGACCAGGTCCGAGTCGGAGGGCCCGTCCGTGAACTTGTACACCGGCCGGTGCTTGAGGATGAACATCTTCACCTTGAGCACGTCCTTGGTCTGCACCCAATACTTGGTCGTCTTGCGCACCTGCGCGCCGCCGGGAGGGTGGCGGGGGAGAGGGCGGCGGCGGAGGGGCGGGCCGGGCGCGCCACGCACAAAGGAGGCGCCGCCCTTCTGCGCCGCGTCGAAGGCGCCCTTGCCCGCGCTCACCGCGGCGCCCTGCAGCGAGGCGCGCAGGTCGGAGAGGGTCCGGACGAGGGAGCCCATCTTGTCGAGGACAAAGGTCTGGGACTGGACCTTCATGAGGTAGGGCATGCGGAGGGGGCAGGTGGAGTACTTGTCGTGCTTCTTCAGAATCTTGGAGAAGGCGAGGTAGTTCATGTTGATGAAGTTCTCGAATGCCTGCAGCTCTGCCTCGGCGCTTTCAACCTCCTCGAGCACCGTGTCCGCCTGCGCCGTCTTTGGGCGTCCAGACTGCACCCAGTTGCTGTGCGCCTTGGAGATCTTCTCGACCTGCACCGCAGCGGGGCGGCGGGCGAGCGTCGCGTGCGCGAGCTCTGACGCCGCAAGCGAGGCGCAACGCGCGGCGCGCAGAGATGAGAGAGGCCCGCAGGGAGCGAGGGACGGGCGCGCAGGGCGGGAGGCCGCGCACCAGCGTCTCCAGCTCCATGTGGATCTTGGCGGTCCACCGGTTGACTTTCTCGATCTCGGCGTCGATCCGCGCGATGAAGTCGCCCTCGCGCGCGCCCGGAGGACGAATCACCTCATCGGTCGTCGCAACGGAGTGCGCGAGGTACAAGACGTCTTCATTGAACTCACGGATGCTGCCTGTGGGATCATCGCGCGCCAAGGCTCGGTGCGATGGAGGGGGGCCTGGATTGGTCTGCGGCGCGTCTCCCAAAGGCGCGGGATGGCTCACCTGTGTTGATCATCTCGCCGAGGATCTTTTTTAGCGAGTCATAGTCGACGTAGCCGTCCGACCATCGCGGTACCTTCTCCTGCGTTAAGTTCTTCCCGAACTTCACCATGGCGAGAGAGCGAAAGCCGCTCAGCTCGTATGGATGCAAACTCGCGGATAGGGCCGAGGACAGGAGGAGAGAGTCGCAGCGACGGAGGCGTTCGGGCGCCGACGGCGTGGAGGACTAATCCACAAATAACGGCGCTATTTTCACACCTCTTGCCCGTTCACAGACCTTGTTATAGAGGAGAAAGTACCTCCTATGGCGCTGCGCGCTGGTCTGTGAGAGGTTGAGGTGCGAGCCCTGGAGGCCCTGGGGATGGGGGGAGACTACCAGACTACCCGCGGGCCTAGAAGGCCCGCCCGCGCGCGGGTGGGCGGGGGGCGGGGGAGGCGGGGGCCGGGACGCGGGGGGGCGGTGCGGGGACATTGAGGCGTGGGGCAGAAAAAATTAAATCAGCTTAAGCTCTACCGTAGGGAAGGGGAGAAGGAAGAGGAGAGACGCCGGTGATGACGAAGCAGAAACTAGCGCAGACGAGAGCAGGGCAGAGCCGGGGACTGGGAAGCCGGAGCAGACGGCATCGGCCGCCGAGGGAACGTTGGGAAGAGGCACGAGGAGGGCGGCGACCTCGACCGACTATGGACCGTCGCCAGACGACGCAGGGCAGAAGACGGTGAGGCGGAGCAGAGACGCGCAGGGCGAGACGAGGGAGGGAGCAGGACTTTGCGGAGATCAGCAGGAGGATGTACGAAGAGATTAGGAGCAGCAGGGACCCGAGGGACCATGTGGAAGACGGCTAGTGCGCTAGTCCCCCATCGGGAGGACGACCCCGGCTAGTCGCCGACCACACCCACAAAGAACCCTGCACAAAGAGATCGCAAGGGCGGGGGCCTGTTCCTTTTTACCCATCTCACAGTAGAGAGGTGTCCGTTTTTATTTTTTTATTTACCGTAGGGAAGGACGGCGCGCCACATCAATCTATCAAAGCGCGGTGCTGTTAGAGGCACACCCGTTCGCAACGGTCCACGCCATCAGTGCTGCGGCGGGCACGTCATGGCGAGTGATGCGGGGGGACAACGCCTCGTCAAACGCCCGCACGCCCTGATAATTGCTGCTGTTCGAGCACTCTCGAAGTCGAAGGCCTTTTGAGCAGAAACTCTTGATAGCCTCAGGTCCGAACTTGAGGTTGGGCACATACCGATGCACATAGAACCAAATCGACTCCCGCCTCTTGACCAAGGTGGTTTGGCGCCGACGGACCGCCTCTCCACCACCCTCGCCCAGGGATCTACAACGCTGTCTTAAGGTCCGACAGGTTCGGCACCGGGCACCGCCTCGGTATACAAAATGCGCCTGCGGGCGGACCCTCACAGATCACAGATCACAGATCACAACAACGACCTGGATAAGGGCTGACTGAGGGAGGGTGTAGAGGATGTAGAGTGTAGAGCGCTGTAGAGCTGTAGAGATGTAGAGCGCTCTGGAGCGCTGTAGAGCAATGTAGAGCTGTAGAGCTCTACATCCACCGCTCGTTGCGTTGAAATTGAACAAAAAGAAAAACTTGCGCGCGCCGACAACACAGCACACAATCAAGTACACAACTGCTCCCGCCGTCGGCCCCATTCGCACGCAGTGACACACACACCGCTCACAGACCTTGTCATTGAGAAACTCATACCTGCTGTTGCGCAGCACGCCAGTATGAGTTCACACACACTTTCGCCACTCGCGACGCCGCTCATCCACTCCGCTCGCGGAGACGCCACAGGTCATGTTCGCCCGCATCGCGCTCCTCGCCCTCGCCGTCTCGTCGACGTCAGCCCTCAACGTGCCCTCGCAGTCGGCGATGCGCCCCGCGCTGCGCCTGCCAACCAAGCCGGCCGACGCCACGCCCAACGTCCTCGCCCTGCGCGGCGGCGGCGTGGATGCCGACCTGCTGTGCAAGGTCATGGCGGCCGTGTACGGCGGGTTCGGAATCTTCCTCGCCACCATCCCCGACGTCGCCTTCGGCAAGAACTCGCCGGTGTCCTACTGGACCACGTTTGGCGAGGCGGGCGAGTGGTTCGCCCGCGGCTTCGGCATCGTGGCGGTCTCCCTCTTCACGTCGCCCTTCTGGGCTGGCATGCCAACGGACGTGCTGGCCAAGGTGGCGCTGCCCATGAACATCCTCTTCCTGCCCCTCTTCTTCCAGGCGGCGATGGTGCTCCCCACCGCCAAGGACTCGACCAACGCCGTCCTGCCGTTCAACCTCTGGTTCACCCAGATTCCTCTCGCGGCCAGCATCCTCGCCCTCAACATCATGGCGCTGATGTGAGTCGGTCGTTGCGTGGCCCGGGCTGGTGCCTTGGCGTCCCCGCTCCCCCACACCGCTCGACCACACCCCCAACGGGCGAGCAAACCTTCCATGACGCGTCTATGTCCGTGTCGATGTCTATCCGTGTCAAGGAATTGGTGCTCTTCTATCACACTGAGGTGAGGTGGAGTCGGCGCGGGCGTTTTTTTGTTGTTTCACCCATCACACTTTAGCTGGCGGCGGGGGACGGGGGGGGGGGGGCATAAGGCCGTTCGCCCCGAAAGCAGCCGTCCGAGCTCGTCGCTCTCGAGCGCGCACCCTGAAATTCACGGCTGAAAGATCCCTGTCGCCTGTGAACACGACCAGGCCCGGCAAGGGGCAAGCGGCATAGTAGGCTTGCCGCGCTGCGGGTTGAGGTGGCGGTCGAAGTGGTGCACCCTCGCGGCCAGGGCAGCCTCGTCGAACCAGCCCAACACTTGCAGAAAAAGAAAAGAACCGCCCGCCCGCGAGTAAAATCCGAACAACGTCCTCGTGGTCGACTCAGGCAGGTGTGCGGTCTCGGGCAAATCTCGGCGGGAACACGAACCGTTGTCGCCCCCATTACATGCGCTGAGTGGTCGCTCCGTTGTCGCTTATGACGGCACCTGCATCACACCGGCGGCGGGCACAGGCGTTCTGTGCGCAGGCGCTGTTGCTGTTGCTGCTTCATCGATCTCTGCCGGTCAAATCTCTGACTGAGGGCAGCATTGCGCGAGACGGGCGCGCGAGTCGAGACCGGCGCGCCCCCAAGGGACAAGCTACCCTCTCCCCTGTCCGAGCCAGACTGCTCTTCACCTTTCTACCTGACCTAACCTAGAGCCTGTCCTGGGGCAGGTCCCTACGCCCTCCCAATCATACGCATAAAAAAAACGGGACTGAATCGATCGTACACGTACTGCGGTGGTGTGAGTGAATGCACCATGAGCAAAAACCTGCCGAGGCCTGTACATTCTTTATGCGCGGCCTGGATTCTTCTTCCTCTTGGTGAAGAAGGCAGCGCGGGCGGCGCTGGGGGGAAGGGGGGGAAGGGCGGCGGCGGCGGGCGGCAGTCCCGCGAGGCACGCCTGCGGAAGGGTTCGTCCTCCTCGCGGGGCGGGGTGGGTGCGCACTGCGCGCCGCGGGGATGAATGTGAGAGGAGCCTGAGCCAGGGGAAGGTTGGGAAGGGGGGGCGAGGCCGGAGATGTATGTCGGCCTCTTCGACGGCCCATAAGGGGGCGTCGCCTGCTGTGCCTTTTGTGGTGCCAGTCCCTGTCCGTGCCAGTCTGCTGTGAGAGCTGAGAGCGGCTTGTTATTAGAATTCTTCCTCGCACAACACGGCTCTCCCGTGGTGTACCTGTGTTAGCGCCAGTGCGCGCCACAGTCCCGTGCCGCGTGTTGTGCGAGGGAGTTTGGTCGTAAAATTCTTCCGAGGGCCTCACTAGAGGTGCGGCCTGCGCGTGTCCTCGCCCTTGGGAAGGTCTTGAGGGGGGAGGGGAAGGGCTGGAGTCGCCCGACATCGTTCGCTCGTCTGCGTGAGCAGAGCAAGGCAAAAGGACGTGATGAAATCCGCGAAAAGGAAAGAAAAAATCTCTAGCGCGAGGACAGCGCGGAGTGGCGCGGTGGCTGCGAGCAGAGAAATACGGAGCGTAATGGAGACGAGTGGCCTGAGCGAGGGGGAGAGCACGCTATTGCCCCCCGTTTTATTTATCGACACACACAAAACGTCAAAACAACTCGGAGTGCAGGCGTAGCACGCGCCAGTAAGCCTGCATCCTCGTCGCCGCCCGGTCCTGCACCGCTCGTCTGGACATGCCTGACTCAACCTTTGCCGCCGCACTCGAGGTTGTCGACTCGGCGACCGCCTGCGGCCTCGACCAGGGTGCTCAGGGCCTCGCAGGAAGTCCCGACGGGCTGACTGACAGGCTCGACGAGCTGCTCCTAAAGGAGATTGAAGACACCGTCTCCGTCGGCGAAACTTTGAGCGAGCGTGAGAACGTTGGTGGAATCTCGGCGAGCAGCTCGAAGGACAGTCTCCCGGAAGGCAAAGATTGTGTCGTCGAAAGTCTCCCGGAGTCCGTTGGCCTTCCAGGAGGCACGACTCGCAGCCATGCCGAGAGGCTCCGCATGCAGCCGGTGAGCCTGTTGCTGCGCTGGAGTGGCTGTCTGCTGGGTCAGACCGCGATCGGACTCGTCATCCTAGCAGCCACTTACTCGGTCATCATCAAAGTGGCTGTCGACGAGGCGCGCGAGCGGCGATCAGCAGAGCGCGAGTTCGGCTCGGGAGAGAGCGACGCCCACTGGACTGGCGACGCGCGGTCGACAGTCTTGCTGCTCCTCCGGCCGTCGTATGCGCTGCTTCTCGCACGCGTGACGTCGGCCTTGATGGTGGGCGTCGCCAAACGTGCCCCCTGTGGCGACTGGGAGTACATCCCTCTGCCCGCCTTCGGGGTACTTCTTCTGCACCACGCTCTTGCCAGCCTGTGGGCCCTTGCTGCTGTGCTTTACCCGGCTGGGTGCGCGATCGGACTGCTCATCGATCGGGACGCTTGGGTGGACCTCTATCTACTGCACCGGTTTATACCCGTCATGCTTTGGACCATGGGCTGCGGCCTCGTGTTTCTCTCCACCGGCTTGGCTGTCTGGCAAAAGACGCTGTCAGTCAAGCATTACAAGGAGCGTGCTGCGACGGCGCAGCACCACCAACGGGTCTTGCGGAAGATCGCTGCGGCGGCACGCGGGGCCGAGAGGCGGGAGAAGGCCGCGGCCGCTGCTGCCGATGCTCTGCAGCGCAAAAAGGCGGCGGGGGTGCTGCAGGACGCCTGGATCCGGAGAGGGGACGCTCGGCCGACAGATCATCGGGGCGCTGGGCGACTGCTTCTTCGGCGGGATGCGGAGCCGCGCCTTCCGCGGCGGCCACTGCCACTGTCGGCTCGAGATCCATGGGCGGCGGGGCCGACCGCGTGGGAAGAAAACGGAAGGGTCGCACGTGGATTTTTTTCGGCGGCGGCGGCGGCGTCACCGGCGGCGTCACCGGCGGCGTCAACGGCGGCGTCAACGGCGGCGTTAACGGCGGCGTCAACGGTGGCGTCAACGATTTCGTGAAAGGCCACGCGGTCATGGAGGAGCACCTGGACGACTTGGCGGGTGGGCTGCAACTGGGCGCAGACCTCGCGGAGGCACGCACAGCAGCGCAGGCGCGCCGACGCGCGGAGCGCATCTTCTCGATCGTGCTCCGGCAGCCTGCGCTATCGGTGGTTGTACCAGAGGGCTCTCCGCCGGCTGTGGACCGGGACGCGCTCGTGGCTTGGGCATACGGCCGAAAGGCGTCGACGACGACGCCCCGCGCGACGGAGATCTTCACGTTCGGCCCGGTGGTCACGGCTGATCAGTTTGTCAAGGTCTGGATCTGGACGACACGCGCCCCACAAGGCAATGGGCTTGACTGCTGATTTTGCGTTGGCAGGTGGTGGAGCGCGCCTACAAGGAGCAGAGGCTGCTGACGGCCGGCGTCGCCTCCTTCGACGCTCTCAGCACGTCTGTCGCGCGGGCGGTGCGACACCCTCCTCTCCTGAGCAAGCCCACTATCTCCCCGCAATCCGCCTGCGCGTGGCATTGCTGTAGGTGAAGCTCCTGGTTTGCTGCCTGATGCTCATTATCCTGCTCGAGATCTACGAGGTGCCGACGTCAGCGTGGTTGGTCCCGCTCGGCACAGGGATCATCACAGTCGCGCTCCTCGCCGGCTCAATCACGTCGGACTTTTTCGAGTCGTTCTACTATGCGTACATCACGCGGCCATACGACATCGGCGACCGGGTTTTGCTCTCCAGTCCTGGATCCGACCCGACAATGGCGTCCCTCGTGGTCAAGAACGTTTTCCTCGTGCGCACCGAGTTTCTGAACATTGCAGGCGCGTCCGAGTGGTGTGCTTTCTCCTTGCCGGGCGCGCGCGCGGCACATCTGACCCCCACAACTATGCGGGCGCGCAGGCCAATCGCTCCTCATCAATCACTCTGCGCTCAATCGCATGTCGATCTCGAATCTGAACAAATCCGGCCGAATGACGATGCTCTTCGTCCTCCGAGTCCCCGTCGTGACTCCGGTGGCAAAGATCACATCGCTATGCGAGGCCATCAAGGCTTACGCCACCGAAGCGGCGACTGAGTGGGCCGCCTTCGACTTGCTCTTTGACGATATAGTCAACAACGAGGGCCACCTCAGCCTCAAAATCTGGGCCGAGTCGCGCTTCCTTGCGCACGAGGTGGTCCCCATCTACGAGGCAAAGTCGCGGCTCGTGCTGTTCATGCACACGTACATGCAGGCAGCTAGCATCGATTACGTGCAGCCACTGTTGCCTACGGCGAGGGTCGCTTAGGTCACCTTCGATACATACATACATAGTCACATACGGTTGATAGGAAACACATCATACAATTACGCAAACACTACACCTCGAACCTGCCTGTCTCGACGGACGACGCACTCCCACCACTAGCAAAAGAGAAAGAATCCCTGCTGTTTGTCTGTGCATGCATGTGTGTCCCTTACCTGTGTTAGCTCGAGTAGTGCGAGTGGGGAAAAAATTCTTTCGGCGTAAAATTCTACTCGCGATTTTTGCTCGGCGCGCGGGTTGCCGTTCGCGTCTCGCTCCACAATGAGCGCGGCATTTCAGAGTGTGGGACAGCTCAGCCCGCTGCCGCGCGAGGCGCTCGACATCACAGCGGCTGGGGTGCCGGCGCGTGTCGCGAAAACTCGTGGGTATCGGGGCGAGCTCATCCTCTTCACTGCCGACGAGAACATGGCCGGCTGGGGCTTCCACTTTGTCAACCAGCTGCGCAGACGCGGCCACGAGCACTGGCTGATCATGGCCGACTCCGCGGACAACTGTGCCGGGATGCACGCGCAGTGGGAAATGATGGTGTCATCGTACAGCGAGGCGCCCCTGTCGTGTGCCTATTCCTCGTATCCCAAGCAGCACTCTGGCTGGGCGCAGTGGACACGCGCAAGCCACCCCGACAAGATGCACCAGGTCTACATCTTCTGGGCCACGCGCTGGTGGGTATCGCTCAAGCTGATGCGGGAGGGGCTCAACATCCTCTCGCTGGACGTGGACGCGGTGCTGCTGGGCGACATCTACTCGCGGCTGCATTCGCCGCCGATGGTGCACCAAGACGTGATCATCACTCGCAACGACGACGGGTCTCAGAGCCTCAACTGCGGGTTCGTCTACTTCAACCGGGGCGCTTCCCGGGCGCGCCGTGAGCAGCCGTCCACGTACCTCACCGCCACAAACACAGAGGTGGACTCGCACTGCGGAGAGCGAGCACGCCCCGAGTCAGCAGCAGACGTGCCCGCGGCGGAGTGGGTGTGCGAGCTGATGTGGGAGCGGCTGCGGCTCTTCCTCGAGGTGGACCGAGTTGCGCTGCGCGACTCACCGAAGCGCGAGGTCCTGTGGGAGCAGGACGCCCGGAACGACCTCGCGCAAGCCGCTCGAGCTGAGAGAGCTGTGGCAAATGACCCTTCTCGGAGCCTTCCTATAGGACGCCTGGAACGACCTGGTCAAGTCACTCGAGCTGCGGCGGCGGGTCTTCCCGTGGGCCACCGGCTACGGCAGGCAGTCGGACCTGTGGGCGGCCCTCGGGTACGAGCGCGTGGTTGTGGGCGGAAGAAAGCACGCGGAGAAGTTTGTGGCGTGGCGCAAGCTCAAGCACGAGCGCTCGCCTCCGTTTGGTGCGCCGGACGAGCCGCCGTACGCGCGCCGCTTCTTCGAGTCGAGCCTCGAGACGCCTCTCCTCTGGCTCCCGCTCTGCTCGCCGCCGAACTCGTCCTCGGCTGCGAGCGCGGCGGTGGGGAAGGGCGAGAAGGACGGGATCCCACTCGGGCTGCTGCTGCCGCGCCCGGCCGCGCCCGGCCGGATGCTGGTCGCACCCTCGTGGCTCGCCTCGCTCGGCAACGACCCCGAGTCGGAGTGGGCGGTGCGCCTCTAGCCCCCCCCCCCCCGCCCCCCTCGCGTCGCCCCGCCCCCGCGTCGCCCCAGGTCCGCGATCAAAGCCGGCCCCGGCCCGGAGGCTGAGCCGCTGTCCCTGCCCGTTGACGTAGGGCGTGCCAGAGGCGGCGGGCAACCCTCTGACCTACGTGCACATCACAAACATGTGGAAGTGCTTCCCTCACCCCTGCTGGTCCAAAGCGGGGCGCCTCTTTTGGCTCCGCGCGCACGGCTTTTGGGACAGCCGGCTGGACGAGGCCGGCCTCACGCCGCGCGGCTCGCCGTTCACGGCGAAGACGCGCGCGTTGGCGCTGCCCGATGCCGACATTGCCGCGCTCTCGGCGCTTGCTGAGCAGACGAAGCAGCTCGCCGCTTGGCCGGCGCCCCGCGCTCGCGGCCTGGGCTTCCGCCGCTTGCATGCAATCGTGCACAACCTGGTCACGGCGGCGGCGCTGCTCGGCCGCGTGCCGGTGATCCCGCAGGTGCCGTGCGAGCTCATCCGCGCGGTGCAGAGCCTCGCCAACCACAACACGGAGCGCTCGCGCTTCGGCATCAGCCATGCGGCGGTCGTCGTGACGGGCGCCGACCCGGCAGCGCCGGTCTGCCACCTTGCGCCCGGGACGTGGCGGCCAGGAGGCCCTGACCAGTGCTACCACACGGCGGCAATGGGACAGTTCGACTTGCCGCGCTTCGTCGGCTCGCTTCGCGGCGCCCCGAACGGCACGCTCGCCCTCCGTCTCGCGCCGGCACTCCGCTCGGGCGAGGCGCCAACCTCGCTCAGTTGGGGAAGGGCGACGGCAGAGCTCGAGCTGGCGCCGATCCGCGATCTGTGTGGTGCCGCGGCGCGGCTTGCGGATGTGCCGCTCGTGCACCTCTCCGGGCTGATGCCGCCCAACGGCGCGGAGGAGGTCCCCTTGCTTGATGTGCCGCTCCCGAGCCGCGAGTTTCGGTCCGAGCGGCAGCGCAGGGAGAATGGCGCTCCGCGGTGGCCGTCGCTGCTCAAGGGCAGTAACCTCAAGGAACTTGCGAGTGCGTGCCCGGGCGCCGGAAATCTCATCGACTACCGTAAGCAGTGCGTCGGTTTCTTCTTGGCCGAGTGAGAACCGGGCACTGGTGAGATGAGCGGCTGGCTGGAGCGTCTTCGCGCACAGGGCCGTGTGTGGTGGGGTGTCCAGGCAGGCCAAGTGTGAACGGACAGCTTTCAGTGAGGCCATTTGGGTCGCTCACCTCTGTGGGTGTTGGGGACCGGCGAGGCGCGCAGGCGGCAGCCGGCAGCACGCATAGCGCGAGGTGTGCGGTGTGCGTGGCGTGCACGGTCGGGCTCGGCAGTGGCCAGTGCCTACATGGGGAGGTGGGGCAGGGGGAGCGGGGAGGGGACCTTTCAGAGCTGCACAAAATTCGGTCAGAAAAAAATTGCGTTTTATCCTGCGAAAGACACTACTCTCCCCCTCCCGTCTCTCGAGTGATTCTGAGATCAGGTTGGGCGACTGGCAGACATTTCAAAATCGAGGAGCGCTCTAGCGACGAGCCCCAGCGCCGGGGTTCGGGGCCGCGTAGGCCCCGAGATTTTTTGGCGCATTTGTGCTTTGAAAACACATTTTCCAAGCAAAAAGTGTGCTCTCACATCTCCACACATTCACATACTCGACAACTCGAGCCCGGCCGATAAATCAAAGCTCAATTAATACTGTATTCGCTAGCCGTCAGCCATCTCGTTTGAGCCTTTGGCATGGTCAGGCTCGGACTGAGGCGCTGCGCCCGGGCGCTCGCTCTCGGTAAGGACGACGACCGAGAAGAGGTCCTCGTCAACGGGTGGCGCTACGCGTGACATCTCGTTGCTTGCGAGCGCGACGCGGGACACTTCTGGCACGGCGCTGCTGCTGGTGCGAGCTCGCGCCCGCACCGCGCCGAGCTCAAGCCCGGCGCGAACGGCGCCCATCACTCCGCCCCCTCTCCGCCCGCCGTGCGCGCGAGCGTGCGCGCAATAGAATAGCGGCACGAGCAGCAGCGGGCCCAAGGAGTAGACCCAGCCGACGGCGAGCGCCCAGCCGGGGAAGCCTCCGAACGGGCTCGAGCCCTCGTGGATGACCTAGAGTGAGGGTTCGTGGAAGGGTCCGAGAAGGGTCCGAGAAGCCCCCGAACGGGCTCCCTCGTGCACGACCTGCGCGAGCAGCAGCAGCGAGAGGGTAGCGGGCAGCAGCCACTGCCAGCAAAAGGCCCACCACGGCGCGAGGCGCTGGTCCTCGGGAGGGAGGGACTCGAGCAGCCGCCGCGCGCCGTAGGCGAGGGAGACGAGGAGGCACTGGGAGAGCCCCACCACGATGGTGAGGAACATGGGCACAAAGTGGTCAGAGAGGGTGAGCCAGTAGGTGCCCGCGCGCGACACGTAGATTAGGCCGCTGACGAAGCCGAGGAGGTGGAGGGGCGGGGCGACGCGGCGAGCAGTCGTGCCAAGCCGCTCGCAGAGGGCGGTGGTGAGCGGCGAGGTCATCGAAACGGCCGAGGAGATGCCGAGGTTAAGCAGCATGAGGAAGAAGAGGGCGGCCCAGAGCTGCGGCAGCGGCATCAGCCCCATCGCGATCGGGAAAACCTGGAAGGCGGGCAGGGTGTCGGAGGTGTGTCGGAGGTGTGTCGGAGGTGTGTCGGAGGTGTCTCAAGACCTGGAAGGCGAGAGCGGGTCCCGACTGCACGAGCGACTCGAGCGGCTCGCCTAGCCGCAGCGTGTCGACATGCGCGTCACGGCTCGCGGGGGGCGGGGTGCAGAGCCGACGGCGGAGCAGCTGCGCCGGTGGTGTGTGAGATGAAGCCGAGAAAGCCAAAGACGGTGCCGCCGGCGAAGAGGGAGAAGGCCGAATTGGAGAGAGAGACGATGATGGCCGAGCGGCCGACGGGCGTGCTTGGAGGCGAGAAGCTCGCGTAGGTGGTGAGTGTGCCTGTATGGTGTGTACGTATGTACAGACTGTACAGTATGTGTGTATCTAGCTCGCGTAGGTGGTGAGTGTGCCGAGGCCGGCCGAGACGCCGAAGAAGAGCTGCGAGACGGCGGCGACCTGCAGGGTCGCATGCAGCGAGTGTGAAGAGACGCTGTCGACGGCGCGCCGACCGCAGCTCGTGGGCGGCGACCCAGATGGAGGGCGAACAGATCGCGGCAAAGTCTGGCGAGAAGAGGGTGCGTATCCCGGCGCCGGCGCCAGGCAGCGTGACGGCGCGCGCGAAGAAGGCGGCCAGCACGGCGAACGGCATCGGCATCAGCAGCTTGTTGAGCGCGCCGATCGAGGAGGCGCCGTCGCACGCGCCGAGGCAGACCACCGCCCAGACGAGTGCATACCTGAGGCCGGCGTGGCAGCGTCAGGGTTTGTGTCCCGAGGCGCGAACTCCCGACCCGCCAGCAATCGCGCGCCAGCCGCACAGCGGGCCGACAAGCCCGCCCGTCTCGGCGACGCCGGAGGAGACTTGCAGCACCTCCTCGCGCCAGAAGGAACGCACCGCGGCGAGCGCCGCGTCCGCCTCCGTCTCGCCCCCCGCCTCCCCCGAGCCGGGCTGCAGCCCCGAGCTAGCCTCCGCTCCGTCCAGGCTGGAGCTCGACTCGGAGAGAGAACGCGCCGCCTCCTCGACCGCCCACGGCTGCGGGTCTCGAAACGCGTTCACCAAGTAGACGAGGCAGTAGGCGAGCAGCGTCTGGGGCGGGGGTTGGGGCCAGACTGGTGGGGCCCCAGCAGTCTGGGTCGGGAGAGCAAGGGCACTCGAGGCTGACCTGGTAGTACTGGGCGCTCAGGAAGGTGCCCACGACTGTGGCCCAGCCGAGCCCTTCCCACCGAGGGGCAATGTGCGCGACGAGCGCCACGTGCCCACGCTGAAGCCGCTGCCCGAGCGCAAACTCGAGCACGACCATCGGTATTGCAGCAAAGAAGAGCGCGATCAGATAGGGTAGCATGAACGCACCGCCTCCGTAGCTGTAGGCCATCATCGGAAAGCGCCACACGTTCCCAAATCCGATCGCGGAGCCGATTGATGCCAGGAGGAAGGTGGTGTGAGACGACCACCGCGACCGTGGCTTGCCATCCGTCGCTTCCGCTGCGTGTGCGCTGGCCCGAGCAGGCGAGTTCTGCTGCTCGTCTCGGGCGAGCTCTGGCATCGTAGGCTTTCGAGCGAGCCACCGAGTCGACGGCGTGAAGATTTTTTCTTTTTCTTTTTTTGAGCTTCCATCAAGGTTAATAATAAACAAACGCAAGGCGGAGAGGCACATCGCTCTCGGGCCCACGGACATCCCGCACACCCGCCGCCCCCGCGCGCCCCCCACCCCGGCCGGGAGAAAGGGGAGTGACAGTTTGGGACGACGGCAACAGAACGAGTGTCTTGCACTCCATATGTGTACGCCAACTCAGGGTGTGTGGCAGCCAGCTGGCTGCGTGTCTTGTGAGCCTTTTGTGTCTGTGTGTCGCTCGTGCGTGTCGTCATCATCTGTCCAGCGTCCACCCATACCGCGTTGGTGTCCAGTCCGAGCCTGGCTGTTCTTCACCTTTCTACCTACCTACCTACTCCATGTGCAACGAGTGTCTTGCACTCCATGTGCAAGAACGCAGAGAGAAAGAAATGAAAGCCGCCCGGCACACAAGTCCGGCTCACGCGCCCCGACTGTGGACTGACCGATCTACCGCACTGACCACTTCCGTCGACCGTCCCCTCGCTCCCAAGACCCAACCCATCCATCCACCTCGCCTCGGGCCGCGCCGCGCGATCTCGGGCGATCTCGCGCTATCTCGGGCGATCTCGGGGCCGCGCCGCGCTATCTCGGGCGATCTCGGGGCCGCGCCGCGCTATCTCGGGCGATCTCGGAGCGTCGCTCGCGCGGCGGCACACCTGCTCAAAAAAAGGAAGGGCCCGGTTGGAGCCACGGGGCTCACGTGCTCGCTCGGTGCGCCGCCTCACTCTGCGCCACTTTTGAGGCGCTGGCGAGGGCCGGTGTAAAAGCGCTTTTAGGCTCTTCCGTCTTGGTGCAAGGATTTTATTTCTCGGCTGCGTTGGCTCGCCAGAGCCTTTGTTCTCGATGGCGCTGACTGGGGCGTGGAGCACTTGGAGGGGGGGGGGGGGGGGTTTCGTAAAGAAGCAAAAACGCAACGTCGTCCGGGTTCTGTCGTGTGTCGAGCGTGCGGGCGGCGGAGGCGAGGCTGAGCCTGAGGGCTGCGAGGCGAGATGTGTGCATGGCGAGAGCTAAGAAGAGCTAGTCGGTCTCGGGCACCGTACCCATACTACTCAAAAGTACAATGTGCTGCCACAAAGCACCACTAGCGATTTCGCGCGGAGGGCGTAGTGAAGCGCTGGGGCGCTCACTGTGTGTTATTCGGGTGGGGATCCATCAGTGGTAACCGGCTTTAGTCACAGGTCCAAGCTCAGACGCCACACCAACACCACAAACACGCTCACTTCGCCGCTGCTGTAGATGGGCCCCCGGGGGCCCATACTACGTCGAAGTACGGACCCGATCTCGGCACTCACGGGCTGCCACGCGCCCGCGCGCGGCGCGGGCCGCACCGCCCATGCCCCCGGACACCGACCCCCCGCCTCTCGGCCCTCTCGGCCCTCAGGGGCGTGCGGGGGACCGGCGAGGGGCGCGCGGCGCGCCGCCTGCAGAGCCGCCAGAGGCATTGTCGCCTCCGCTGGCGGGGTCCCGCGCGTCCACCCGCGCCCGCGCCCGCCCACGCCGCGCCCGCGGGCTCCGGATGCGCCGCCATCCTTCACCTTCTTCTCGATGGCAGTCCGCGTGTGCTTGTCGACGGGTCGGCGGCGTGGTCTCGAGGGGAAGGATGGTCGCCGGCGGCCGCAACTCCGCCGCCGTCGCTCCGCCGGCTCTGACCGAGTATCGGGCGTTGAGGGCGGCGGCGCAAGCGGGTCTGGCGCATCCATCGCCACGAGCCTCGCGACCGCGGTCGTGGCACACCTGGCGGCGGCTCTCGGGGCCGTCTCTACGGCGCTCGACGCCGTGTGAGGTCGCCGGCGGCCGCAACTCCGCCCCCGTCGCTCCGCCGGCTCTGACCGAGTATCGGGCGTTGAGGGCGGCGGCGCAAAGTGGGTCTGGTGCGCCACGGCCACCACCCTTGCCGCCGCCCTTGCCGCCGCCCTTGCCAGCCTTTGCCGCCTTGCCTCCGCCGCGGGCGGCGGTGGGAGCGGCCTGCTGGGCTAGCATGTTGTCCTTGCTGGGGACGGGCACGTGGAACGCACGTTACATGTTTGAACGGCCTCCAGAATTCAAACAAAAAATAGCCAAGGCCCTCTCGCAACCCCTCCGACCCCCCGGGACCCGTGGGCGTCGAAGAGGCGCTCTCGGGGGGCCGTTCTGAGTTCATACTACCTCGAAGCACACACACTGTACTGCGTCAAAGCACCGGCCCTGAGTCCGTAGTGCGAGAGTTACACACACACGACACACACGACACGACACGACAGGGACACAGACACAGACACAGACACAGACACAGACACACACTGCGCTCCCCTCAGCTCCCGCGTGGGCAGGGAGACGCGAGCCCGACCGACGGACGGAGTCCGGTGGTGGAGGCCCACGCAGCCAGCCCCTGTGCGTTGCAAAGGTTGGTGCTGAGCCGCCGCCGCCGCTCGCTCTCGATACTCGAAAAGCGTCGCGTTGCTGCCCGTTCCCGGAGCGACAAGCGCTATGCAAAAAAAATTAACAAAAAAGAATTCTTAAAATACAAGCCTCTCTCACAGCACACTGGCACGACAAGGGCGCGGACTGGCGCGGACTTGCACACTCACCCGGGGAAAAAAGAATCCGGTGGTCGTACTTGCTCATCTCCAAACGCCCAGCAGCGCTCTACCCAGCACTCCACGCGGACCAATCTCTCGATGACGCGCTCGCTCATCGTAATCCGCAACGCGGCTGGTGACATCCTCCAAATCATCTACATCGGCCACGACGGCTATGAGTCCGGCATCGGCATCGACCTGGCACGCACACTGCTCACTGACGAGGCGGAGGGCTTTGGATCAATGGTTGCCGCCTGCGACGCTCGTACTCGAACAATCGTATCATGAGGACAAGCCCGTGATTGACTACCACTCGCTGCTGCGTTGCGACGAGAAGACCATCGCTGAGATGCGTGGCGAGCCACCGATGGGATACGAGGCCGGCGTCATGATGGACTATGTTTTCACCGTGCGCGAGGGCGCTGCCGGCGGCTCGCCAGAAATCGCCGTGACGAGGTGCGGAGAGGCAAGCCCTGGCGCTCCGCTCACACCGAGCGCTTTCATCGAAGAGCACGCCGACCAGCCGAACTCGGAGGACGCACCTGGAGCACCTAGGAGCCTCCACGCGGCCTTTCTTGCAGACTACCACGCCAAGCCGCTGCCGTCCTTCGCGCCCGCACCCGGCGGGGTTGCGCTCCGAGTCTCGTCAGACGACCGCGGTGACTACCTTTGTCTGCTGCTGCAGGGCGACGGCTGGGGCGACTACTTGGCCGACGCGCTGCCTGTGCCCTGATCCGACGCGGCGTGGAGGGGTTCGACCGCTTCGCCACCGAATGCCTGGTCGACCTCAAGCGCGGGCCCGGCCGAGTCTTTGCCACAACGGCCGCCCTGCTCCCACCGGGCGTCCCAGTGGTGTTGGTTCACCTGCAGGAGGAGCGCCGCTCTACGCCGAATGTGCAAGTCTCTGTTCGGCGCGGCACGACCACGATCTTCGCTGCTGCAATGGCAATTGGCTACACGCGCGAAGGCGAGGGGTTAGACATGCGCATCTTCCCGCCACCAGCTGATGACATGATGGACACGATGCAGCCGGCGCTCGATCAGCTGGCCGACCACCTTCGCTCCTCCTGGACGCCGAGCAAGCACGAGCACTTCCCGCTGGCGGTGAAGGAGCGGGCGGTGCAACTGCTGCTCATCGGCCACGCGCTGAGCGCCAGCGTCGGCGTCGGCCTCAAGGACGTGTGGCTCAGCCACCTGATGCCGCAGGCACTGGCGCATGTCCGCGTGATACGCCCAAAAGCTTTGATCGAGGACGTGAGCGGCGAAAGCGAGGACAGCGAGGAGGAGGACTTGCCCGCACAGACTGTGCAAGTCCTCGCACAGCAGGCGCAGCACATGAACAACTGAGGTTCGTGTCGATGGGGCGGCCTCGCCCGTCGCCGCGCAAGCACCGCGCCGCCACCAGCGCTGGGGCCGCGCCCTCCTTCCATCGTGTTCGGCGGTCCCGACTCGTGTTGTGTGTGTTTCGCTGTTGCATGTGTCGCGAGGCGTTCTCCTTCACGCGAATGCGACGTACAAATGTTCCCCTCTTGCCCGCGTGCACACACACACACCCGCACGTCGACGTCCTTGTCCTCCCTGGCGTAGCGATACTCGCCGCCATAGGACGGTATGCGGCGATCGCCGCCCACGCTACCCTGCCCCCCCTAGTATGCCATCGACCTGTCCCCTGCCCCCTGCCCCCTCTCGCCCTTGCTCTTCCTCTCTCCCTCCATTCCCTCGCCCCCATACCCCTCACACTCTCCTCCATCCCCCTCCCCCTCCTCCTCGCCTCCCTCTCCCTCCGCGCGGTAGGGCCCATGCCCCTCGACCATGTTCCCCGGTAGAAAGCCTCGGTGTTGCCGAAGGCGACAAAAGCGCCCTTCCGACCATGCTCCCCGCCGCTGGTGAGGGGGCAGACAACCTTGACATCGCCCGAAAAGCGCTTGCCGCCCCTGCCAATGTTGCACGCGTCCACGTCGGGTTGTTTGTTGTAACTCTGACCGAGGTGGCCTTTCGGCTCCATTCGCACAGCGGTGCCCCACGCGGCGCATAGGGCGAGGATGAGGCGCTGAAGTACACACTTGTGTCTGGTATTGTGGCTCTGCTGCGGCACGTTGACAGCAGCGTCGCCGAACTCGTCGTGGATCTTCTTGTTCCGAGTCTTCTTGCCCGCCGCCGCGGCCTGGCAGGCCGCGTCGAGGGGAAGGCCCAGGCGGCGCTGCACCGAGATCCGCATCGCCCAAGTCTCCATTCGCATGTCATCCCGCATTGGGATGGCGTTGAGGAAGGCGCCGGCGCCGTCTTGGCTCGCCGCCACGAAGCGGACCGCCTCCCGCCAGGCCGCGTGCTTCGCCCGCTCCCTGCCCTCGGCGCGCGCCTTGCCCTTCTTGC